AATACCAAGAAAGCCCTTATGGGCAGAGCAGCACCAAGGAAATAGATCAGACTAAAGTTTCTCCTTGCTGTCTTGATATGTTAATTTTCTGGTGTTTTGTAAAGCCTTCCTTTCAATTCCCCTGCAGTGTTACAAAATTATAAAGGGAAATTATTTAAAGTTGAACTGGTTGTGTTCCTACTTAGAGCCAGACCTCTCGTCATTTCCAATATTTTTGTATGTTTTTTATGTTTAGTACTGTAATTGCACAATATATTCATTTACAAAATGCTTGCAATTCATACAGAAATCATATTGTATTTTTGTTGCACACCATATACCCTCAAGATGAGATGACACATAGGGTAAGAAGGATCCAGAAATCATTGGTGAGAAGTTCAGAAATCTGGTGACAGTTACTCCCTTCGTGATGTATTTTTTAAAGTACTACAACCTTTTTTTTGTCAATCAAATAAAGAATTAAATGTTTCCAAATGGTTGTGACTCCATGTATTACGCAACACACCAGCGTCAGGAATTAAAAGTATGACACATTCTATTTGAATACACTTTGTATTCACCCACACAATCAGAAGTATATTTATATTCTTCCGCAGACTTGTATGTAGAATTTAAATAGAGAGTTATTCTTAATGGAAATATTTGACAACAGTTGATATAAATTTGTATCCTTTTCTACTTTAAGGCCAACTACGGTTGAGGAATTTACTAATTTCTTCATTCTACTTATCTCAAAATCTGCATTTTGAGCTGATTTCCAAGCATCTAACGTGGGATGGGTCTGAAAGTCTTTCAAAAGTCTAGAATAGTGATAATTAATTGTATTTACTGTACTAAATATTAAGCAGTTTCAGCTTTAAGAAACATGTGGTACTCTTCACATTTATAGCTCAGATGAATTTAATTTTAGAATGATGCTATTTACTACTTAAAAAAGGACCGGCGTACATTAAGAAATTTGTTTTTGCCCCTGTTTCCCTGATCTGGGATTCCTGACAATAATGTTTCTGCAATGCTGCCTAAAAGACGAAACTATTTTTGCCAAAATTCCTTTTTAACTGACTAGTAGCAGCTAGGCCTGCTCGAGCAATGTCTTTGTGGATGTTTTTCGCCTCACTTTGAAACAAGAGCACCTCGCGTACTTGTTATTAACTAGTTTATGTTCAGTTTTTGTAGTCTTAACACTGAGTTCCATACTGTAGGTTCTCTTTACCTACAGATTTCGCTTCTGCTTATAATAATAATATATAATTGCTTAAACTTAAATAGTGCTTTTCTGGACACTCCACTCAAAGAGCTTTACAGGTAATGAGGATCCCCTCCACCACCACCAGTATGCAGCCCCACCTGGATGATGCGACCGCTGCCATAGTGCACCAGTACACTCCCCACACACCAGCTCTCGGTGGGGAGGAGAACAGAGTGATGAAGCCAGTTCAGAGATGTGGATTATTAGGAGGCCATGATTAGTAAAGGCCAGGGGGAAATTTGGCCAGGACTCCAGGGTAACACCCCTACTCTCGTCAAGAAACACCCTGGGATTTCTAATGACCACAGAGAGTCAGGAACTTGGTTTTATGTCTCATTTGAAGGATGGTGCCTTTTTAGAGTACAGTGCCCCCATCACTATACTGGGGTATTAGGACCCACACAGACTGCAGGGTGAGCGCCCCCTGCTGGCCCCACTAGCACCACTTCCAGCAGCAAGGCTCTTAACCCCAGCTGCTCCAGGAGCGCTGTATAAATGGCTGACCCTGCGCTCTGACCCCCACCTTCTCTCCCTGTCTGTGTGTATCATGTAGAGCAGGTTGGGGTATGCGAAAAGACAAATTCCTAATACAAGAAATGGTATATGGCCAATTAAAATGATCTTATTTTAAAATAATGGCATTGTGAGAAATCGATTAACTTCGAAGCAATTTTATCTGGTGCACATGCAAAGAATAATGCACCCCAAAGCATGCTCACAGTCGGCAATAACAGCACTCTGTCATGTGAATGTGTCCTGTACTTCATTACTCCTCAATATGTTTGAGAACACAACAGTTTACAAGCATTGTGCAGAAACCATACATTTAAGAAATTCATACAAAGCACTGAAATCATGTTTTAGAAAATGACCCCTTTATTTAGGTTGCAATCTATATTATGATGATATTTATATCACACTATATAAACATGTACTCTTTTACAAGGCAGGCAGGCAAATAACTTGAGCAAATCCACTGAGCAACAAAGGCTACCCATCAGTTGAAAGTGTGAGAAATTAACAAAGTATCAGTAAAATGAAGAGCACCTGTTTTATGGAACAGATACGACAAAGGTAAATTAACTTATGTTATTAACCATTGTCACCAACAAGGTGGATCGACAGGGGATTTACTGTAATAGTCTAGAAGCATGTCTCGCCACTGCTGGAAGCAATGTTGGCTGTGCCTCTGTGGTCCGGGCTTTGCACTGAGGATTACATCAGTTTCTGTCCTATGCCACTTTTACAGCTGTGCCTGGTCACTACTCTCTGCTCCCTACATATCATTTGTCATCCCAAATTATCCCTAAGATCAGTGAGGCTTAGTCTGGGAAGTAGGGCACCCACTGCATAACTGTCACATTCTCAGGGCACAATCTATAGATAAAGCCATGAAAATCCCAGAAGGGGAATGAACGTAGAGAGTTTTTGTAACGAACAGTTCTTTCTGGACCCTATGCGGACGACACGATCCAGGGAAAAGTGAAGAAACATGGGGGGGATAAAGTCCTGCAGGACACGGGTATGAAAACAGGGGGCGTGTCCTTGGTGCGCTGGTGTTCGGGGGAGGTGTGGCCGAGGCAAACAATCCAGGAGAAAATCCAAGGGGGTCTCCAAACGAAGACAAAAGTCCAAAACCAGGTAGTCCATCCAAGACAAACAAGATTTAAAAACGGGAACAGGAACAGAAAATAAAACCTTAACGGGACCAGGTGCTTCCAGGTCCTGGGCTCGCCTGGTGTGGAAACCAGAGCAGAGCCCGGAATAAAGTGAGCGCCTGGCTTTTAAGGAGAGCTGAAAGGGGGCTGGAACAGGGAGCAGGCGCGGGCGATGAGTGGAAAACAAGGAAGGGCTGGAGCGTCCTTAAGAGGAGGGGTTTACGAACGTGACAGTTTTGCTTCCTTTTCACCAATGGCACAAAGGTATTATTCTCTTGATAAGAAAACTATACTGGTTTCTTTCTGTTATGTTTAATAACATTTAGTTTTGTAATTATACTTGACATTCAACAAGTTAGGCACCTCAACATCTTTGTCCAGTCAGTTCCCTCAGTAAGGAGCTTATATAGTGTTTAAGCACTACACAAAGTGAACACAAATGATGCTAAAAACATTAATCAATATCCAAAATGTTTTTGCTTTTTTTCTCTAAAAATATACACACACATATATATAGTGATTTCATGTTTAGAATAACTTAATAGACATTTGCCTTAAATTCTTTGTTTTTTTAAATACACTAAAAAAATACACTAAAAACAATGGCTGATCTCAGATCTGTAAATGATTTATGCTGAGCTCAGCAGCAAAAAAAGTACCTTCACTTCTTAGTAGCTGCTCTCCCCATAAGGGCTTTCTTGGTATTTTTCTCGGGACGAAGCACAATAATGTAGCATTTTGGTGCAAATATCGCAATGAGGAGACCAAAGCTTGAAGCTAAAATGGCAAAAATCTCCACAGTGTCCGAGTATTTCCCAGGAGAGCTGACATACGTTGGTATGAAAGCGATCCAAACTGCACAGAAGATGAGCATGCTGAAAGTGATGAACTTGGCTTCATTGAAGTTATCAGGCAGGTTCCTTGCAAGGAAAGCCAGCACAAAGCAGACACTGGCTAGCAAGCCTATGTACCCCAGCAGAAAAATAAACCCAGTTACTGAGCCAACATAACACTCAAAAATGATTTTTGAGTTTTGATACTGTGTGTTTTTAAAAGGCACTGGTGGTGCTGTACTCAGCCAAATGATACAGATCAGAGCCTGGATGACAGTAAAGACAAAAACAGTGCCTCTCTGCTGAGCAGCACCAAACCACTTCATGACATTATTGTCTGGCAGTGTGGCTCTGAAGGCCATGATGACAACAATGGTTTTCACAAGAATACAAGATATGCACAAGACAAAACTGATTCCAAACACAACATGTCTCAGCATACAGGTGAGGTGTAGTGGATGACCAATAAACAGCAATGAGCAGAGGAAGCAGAGTATTAGAGAAAGCAGCAGCAGGAAGCTCAGTTCAGAATTGTTGGCTCTTACAA